CTGAACCCTGCACTCTGTATGTAAAATGGAGCTTGCTGAGGAAGTCCAGCCACATCCGGGTCCGTTTACGTCATATCTGTTTTCGGCTATTGGAACGCACGTCGGCTGTAGTGACAGGAGCAGTGGTAGCTTAATACAGCTGAGTGTATAAGTGCCGAGGATTGGGCACCAACAAAGTGCATTCTTGTTGTTCATATCGATATTTTTTAATAAATCTACTACACCATGAGAAATTTCTCCTTTTGATTCATGTTGACCTGGAATTGTGGGATTAAATGGGGAGAACGCTGAGAAGAAATCCACTGAGATTTTAAACCATGGTGACACAAAGCGTATTTGACCTTCTTTAAAATAAGGGGTCATGGATAGTCGGTGAGTGCAATACATTGGCACATGGTGGGGAGCACAAAGAGGATTTGTACAAAGCAATATATTGGGCACTAGCAGAAGATATACAATTTCTGGAATGCAATTTGGTGTGGGAATTTTATGGACTTGATAAATAATTATTTATATAATATTACATCTCAAGCACACACCAAACCTTCTCTTAATTATACTCTGTATGGAACGCACCCCTAAATCCTGCATTCTGTACATAGTGCAGGGCTTAAAATTTCAAGTCCTGAGCTACTAGCCAGGCCTTAGAGTTACTCGCCACCAACAAACACACACAAACAGAGACACCTGTACACACACAGACATGTATATACACACACAGAAACATGTACACACACGCACAGAGACACATGTACACACACATACAGACACATGTACAGACACGCATACACACAGATACATGTACATACACAGAAATACACATCTTCCCTCTCTCTCTCCCTCCTCTTTTTCTCTCACTCTTCCCCTTCTCTCTCTCTTCCTTTCTCACATCGTATGGGGCTGCACACAAACACCTTCTCCAAGGGCTGCTGATCTCTGGGAGTTGCAGCCCCATATGATCCCTCAGTGTAGGGAGGGAGGGAGGAAGATCCCACAGAACACAGCACAGCTCACCTGCTCCGGGCTTATTCTTCTCCGAAACTTCTCCTCTCCCTGCTCCAGGCTGTCCCCTGGTCCCAGCTCGTCAGCTGCTGGAGGGAGAAGTACAGGAGCATCGCTCTGCAACTGCCCTCCCCCCGCTTCGATTCTCCTGCTGTCCGGGCAACTGCAAGGGTACCGGTGCAATCCCTCTGCTGGCGGCCCTGCATGGCTTTGTCCGCTGCTGCCCAAAAGGTCCCTTCTTCCGGGGAGCGGTGCCTCGAGGTAGATACGCCCCTGCCCTGGGGGACACACTCACCCCCACCATAATTTCCACTCGCTATTGGCGAGCAGGCGAGTGGAAATTTCAAGCCCTGACATAGTGCACCTCTGAACTCTGCACTGTGTACATAGCGTAACCACGAGCTGTGCACTCTGTACCTAACGCACTCCTGAACCCTGCACTCTGTTCTATAACAAGTTTCATTGTAGTTGAGCGGATGCGTATCACATTCATTCAGCAAACTATTTATACATAGACCCGTTAAGAGTCCAAGACAATGTTTCATTCCAAATATTAAACAGGTAAAAAAAAATCAATACGTTTGGGGGGGCCAAGCATTGCCCCCTTCACCAGGGCTCAACACAGGTTTTAAATTGAATGGGCCTATAGAAACCAGTGACTTGACAGATCTGTATTAGAACCGGTATTGAACTCTCTGCATGGAGGAACAACCTGACAACAGTTGCTGAGCAGCAAAAGTCAAAGATAACAGACTCCCTGCAGTCTCTAATGACATTCTATACCAACAATGCTCCTGTTAGCCTGAGGCCTTGTGATTCTTAATTAGTCCTTAGCTCACACAAAGGAGCTTAGTGACTGGAGTTATTTTATTTTGGCATGACAGTTTTTTTTTTATTAAAAAATTATCACTTGAATTGTGAACTGAACAGGCTAGTGATTGATGAAAGACTTATTTGTCTACTTAGTTCTAATCCTAGATTGAAAATAAAATTAACCTAAAGGAAACCCGTAATTAGTCCATTTAGGGCAAACTGTTAGGCAACTGCAACTGATTTTCTTAGCCTGAACCTTTGCACCAGCACATACTTACCTTTCTTGTTCAAACTTTTTATTAACAGTAAAACCAATGTAACAGGGGCAGAGAGACATCATCAATATACAACAGAAATTGTACTGATAACATAATGTTGGGAATAGACAACACAATGACAGTGTCATAATAATGAGAACGAAAAAATATATCGCAAAAACAATGCAAAGTTTCTAATGATAGTGAAAAGTTGGGGGTTGTCAACGATGGATTCATATTTACGATCAGTTAGGATAATGACTCACTGGAACGTTGTGGAAGATTAAGGGGCTTTAGAGGAGGGTAGAAGAGGGGGTAGGTGAGGACAAGGGGGAGAAAGAGGGTAACAGCAGTGACTCCATGAGCGGTAAGGAGGAGCATGGTAACAGGCGGGCATCATATAGGGTGGGCCGATAACAATGTCCAAGGCACTCTGTACGAAAATCAAGGAAGAAGAAGGGATTCGTCAAAATTAGGTGGGAGAAAACATTCTACCCAGGGGTTCCAAACATTTAAGAATTTAGGGATCGTGTCAAGAATCGTGGCTTCCACCTTTGCGTGTATCATAGCTTGCGTTATTCTAGATTTAACAGCTGTGATGTTTAACCTCCTTAGCGGTGTTCCCGAGTGTAGCTCGGGGTAAAATTTCTATACCAAAAGCGGTAACCCCGAGCTACACTCGGGCTTACCATGCGGCGTTGCTCTGGGGGGTCCCTGCAGCACTTACCTTGTCTTTCGCTCCCGCGATGTGTCCCCTCCAGCGTCCCCGGCCATCTCCTCCCGCCGATGCCGGCATCCGGCTCCTGTGTTCCGGTCCCTGTGACGTCGGGACGTACGGGCGCCGGAACCGGCGGGAAATTTGAATTTTTTTAAAAATGTCATTTTTGCTGTCATTGCTATTTCAATGCATTTCACATACATTTTGTCCCAACTGCTTTGTCCGGCGCCCTGCCTGCATTTTGAATGTTCTTTCTGCCTGGAAACTTAGAAAAGTCCATGGCGTCCAAAAAGCGTCCCTTTACGTCAAAAGCGGTTTTTAGAGAACAGCGATAGTAAATCAGAACCACTTGCAGAATTGAGTGATAATGATTCGTGGGGAAATTCGTCATCAGACAGTGAAAACAATTTTGCGACTTTGCTCAGCGATGTGCGAATTTGCCTCTGTATTTCAAATTTCAGTGTTTTTTGGTTTGATTATATTATTGAATTAAATTTATTATTATTATTATTTTTTATGATCATTTATTAAATTATAATTTATGATTTCCTGTTTCAAATTTTATCATATCCGGAATGTTTACTAGACTCTTGTTCGGACAGATTTCAGTGAGTTATTCCTAAAATTTACAGCCTACAATAAAAAACTACATATTTCAATGCAAAAAAAATGGAACCGCTTTCAGCACAAAAAAATCGGAAAGAATCATACCGCCAAGGAGGTTAAGGTGGGGGATTTCCAGGATTTCGCTATGACCTGCTTGGCCGCCGTAGTGACATGTAGAAGAAGTTTGAATTCTGAATTGGTAATACCCGGAGGGCGTTGATTGAGTAGGGCTGTGGCTGGGTTGGGTTGTAACTTGGTGGCACTGAGTGCGGATAATATATGGAAGATTTCAATCCAGAAAGCTTGAGTGACTGGACAATCCCACCATATGTGGAAATGTTTACCTAGGTCTGTACAGCCTCTAAAACAATTGGGTGAGTAGTTAGGAGTATACTTTGCAATTCTCGCTGGGATCAAATGCCATCGCATTAAAACTTTATAATTGGTTTCCAGTGCAACAATGTTCTGAGATGACAACTTTGTATTAGCCCAAATGTGTTCCCACTCCGAAAGGTCTAATTGCCTACATAAATCTGTTTCCCATCTATGGGTGTATGGAGGAAGGGGTGTTGTGACCGTAGTTGTGAGGTGGGAGTATAAGCACGAGATGAGGCCCCGTCTGTGTGGGTCTTTGCAACATGCCCGTTCGAAGGGAGACATGGTGTTGGGTTGGCTTGTTGTTGTAGCGTAGGGGGCATAGAAGTGACGTAGTTGTAAGTATTTAAATATTTCGGAAGCAGGGAGGCTATAAGTTTCCTGTAGCGAGGCAAAGGATTTAAACTTATTTCTCTGTAGGAAGTGGTGTGTACGGATCAGGTTAGCAGAGGTCCATGCTTTAAATGAGAAGGGCGCCTGCCAAGCCGGGGGAAAGGCTGGGTTTCGAAGGAACGAGAGCAGGGGGTTGTGAGGAGATTGGAGGAGATAGCGGGTTTTTAGTTTATCCCATAATGATAGGAAGTGGGAGGTGATGGGGTTTGTTATTGAGCGGCGATCCATTGGCCTTAACCAGAGTAAGTTAGCTGTAGAAAGGGGATTACTCTCAACCGCTTCAAGAACCACCCATTGGGGAATTTCGAAAGTCGCGTGATATTTTGGAAGCTGAGCTAAGTGCGCTGCTTGATAATATTTACCAATATCGGGGAGGCCTAGACCTCCATTAAGCTACATACTTACCTTTCTATCGCTCTCCAGGTGCTTTTTAGAAAGTTAAAGCTTAGGTATGGATACTTTTGCATAGTTGCATTGGTCCAAATTGAACCGATGTAAGCATGTATGTGCACTGCCTGGCTTATCCTGTGAAAGCTGGAAATCACTGTAGGAGGTACTGCTACTACAGTGATCCCCGCTGGCTTCTGGGTCTTGTGCCAAGTGGCTGTCCTGATACACTGTGAACACAGGAAATCACTCGCTCGGTACCAGCACCATTCAGAGAATGATTTGCATTTTCTCATAGAATGTAAAGGTTCTCTGGTTGGACAAGGTAGAGAGGAGGAGTAGTGACATAACAATTCATTGAGAAAAAGTGACTAGTTATCATTTAGCTTTTCCCAATGTTAAATATCAACCCTGTTACAAATAGGCCCCTATGGGTGAGTGTGCCATACCTGAAGCATTCATGTACCCACAGCCTGGTCATACTGTGCTTTGTATCATGTAGGTCACGGTGTGCCCGCAACATGCCTTGGAATACCTGGGAAATTGGAAATATAGATGTTAGTGATCTTTTAGCACTCTCTATCCTGTTGCAAATGTGCCACAATATCCTTTATAAATATGCAAACAGTGTAGCTGGGCAGTGTGGAAAGTGAATATAATTTTTGGGTGTACCAGCAGGAGGAAGGAGGTCCCGATTCCTCTATTAAAATCTTTAATAATCACTAGAGGAGTCCACATTCCTCTGTTTAGATCTTTAGTAATCATTAGAGGGGTCACCAGCAGGAGAAAGGAGGTCCTGATTCCTCTATATAGATCTTTATATCACTAGAGGGATCACCAGCAAGAGGAAGGAGGTCCTGATTCTCCTATATAAAACTTTAGTAATCATTAAAGGGGTCACCAGCAGGAGGAAGGTGGTCCTAATTCCTCTATATAGATCTTTATATCACTAGAGGGGTCACCAGCAGGAGGAAGGAGGTCCTGATTCCTCTATATAGATCTTTATATCACTAGAGGTATCACAAGCAGGAGGAAGGAAATCCTGATTCTTCTACATAGATCTTTAGTTATCACTAGAGACCAGCAGGATAATGGAGGTCCTGATTCCTCTATATAGATCTTTATATCACTAGAGGAATCACAAGCAGGAGAAAGGAGGTCCTGAAATCTCTATATAGATATTTAGGTATCTCTAGAGACCAGCAAGAGGAAGGAGGCCCTGATTCCTCTATATACATCCTTAGATATTACTAGAGGGATCACCAGCAGGAGGCTAATGGAGGTCCTGATTCCTCTATATAGATCCTTAGATATCACTAGATGGATCATCAGCAGGAGGAAGGAGGTCCCGATTCCTCTATATAGATAGTTATCACTAGAGACCAGCAGGAGGAAGGAGGTCCTGATTCCTCTATATAGATCTTTAGCTATAACTAGAGGGATCACCATCAGGAGGAAGGAGGTCCTGATTCCTCTATATAGAACCTTAGATATCACTAGAAGGGTCAAAGCAGGAGGAAGGAGGTCCTGATTCCTCTATATAGATCTTTATAATTAGAGGGGTCACCAGCAGGAGGAAGGAGGTCCTGATTCCGCTATATAGATCTCTTTATAATTAGAGGGGTCACCAGCAGGAGGAAGCAGGTCCTGATTCCTCTGTATAGATCTTTAGTTATCACTAGGGGGGTCACCAGCAAGAGGAAAGAGGGTCCTGATTCCTCTATATGGATCTTTAATTTTCATTACAGGGGTCACCAGCAGGAGAAAGGAGGTCATGAATCTAAAGTAAATTCTCCACTCTGCACCCCATAAAACTTCAAATCTCCAATTACAATTCTTAGTATCCTGGATAGCTAAAAGTCCTAGAATGAGTTTGTAAACCAGGTTGACTCTAGTAGTCTACGCCACCCCCCTATGTGTGGCTGTCTACCACCAATGTCACTAATAAAGCCTTTTAAGGAAAGGATAATAAAAAATGAAAGCATCCAAGCCTTGTTTCAGAGGTATAGTTGCCATGGTGGTGGTGACACAAAAGACCATGTCACTACCCTTCTTCATTGTTACTGGTTAATAAATAGAGATGTAGAACCTTTTGAAAGCTCCTACTGAGAAAAGGGGAAGGACTGACACTAAATCAGCACACCATAGAGCAAATCTCAGCATCTGAAGGATGCTGAGAATTTAGTAACAACTAAGCACATGTCATTTGCCAACCTGACATAAAAAAATAGGAAAACAATGCAATGAAATATGTTCTCCAAAATTGTTCACTACTTATGGGCCCTATGTAGGGTGAGCTTCTAAATGGGACAGTCTTTAATTATTGAGTTTACTTCTGTGCTGGTCATTTTAATGGTCAGGGTCGATTAACTATTTTTCTCTTCAGAACTGTCATTCATTGCCTGTACAACTCTATTGGCAAATAAAGCAGGTCAAATGTAGGCCAACCACACTGGCAATGAATTCTAAATGGTCTGAGAAGTCAAGATCATGCTGCATTTTCCCATAAACGCCCATTGGGAAACTCTCTAAATTCTTCCCCGGAGCACAACTAAGAGAAAATAAGTCCACTGGTGGACAGGAACTAAATCATTTTAAGGACACTGCTTAGGAAACACAAGCTCCAACCAGCGGTGTATTTACCGTGAGGTAAAACCTGGCGTTTGCCTTGGGCGGTAATTTTCAGTTTTCAGGGGGTCAATGCCGCCACGGAAGAAGGGACACTCATGGCAGGGATGGGGGCCTGGTGAGGCACTGCCTGTGCTCCGTCATGGAATCCGCGAAGGCTGTGCGCTGCTGGAGGGTGTAGGCAGACACTGGGCTTGGCTTCAGAGAGGTTAAAGTTAGTGCCTGAATAACTCTCTCTCTGTGGACTGGCCAGGAAGGGGGAGTTGTGGATGATGGTGGGTGGCGGCAGCGGGGGGAATTAAAGGGGGGTGCTGGTGGTGGTAGGGGGCACTAAATTTTAGCGTTGCCTAGGGCAGCACAAGATCTAAATATACCACTGGCTCCAGCCACAATATTAATACTTACCAATCAAATGAGTTTCTGATATTTTTCACATGCAACTTTTTAAGTTTTATACCCCATTGATAATTTTTCTCAATTTAGCTCCACTTGTGACTCACCTTGGAGATGTCCCTAAGGTTAAACAGGTAATGGATTTTGGCAGGGGTGGGCAGGAATCTCTGAGTAACTGCGTTATACAGCTCTATGGTTGCCTGCGTAATTATATCCCCAACTGGTTTCACCTCTTCCTCAAAATCCTGCAGCTTCTGGCTCATCATCGTCCCGAAAATCCTTTTGATCTGAGATTCCTGCAGAAGAGCAAGTAAATTCCATTATTACAAGATCACCCATGACTGGCTTAAAAAAGAGAAATGGCCCTGGAGCAAAGCCTATGGCTATACCAGTAGAGGCTGGTATAGCCACAAAGGTTGGCCAACTCCATAACAATGTCCATGATTTTGGAATGAGACATCATCCAACAAGTTCATTTTGGCCATATAGTGTAAAATGAGAAGGATATGAACCAAGGGGTTATTAATAATATTTAACATAGACTTCAGTGTAACTGAAAAGATAAAAACACTTTTGACTCACCGAGGGGAAGGTCATATTAATCAGGTTGAATCGGCTCTGAAGGCGCCCAGAAATGGCAGTTCGGCCTCCTCCAGGGGGACCCATGGCTGCCATAATGAACATGTCCTGCAAAAAGCAATAGGAACATGTTTGTAAGGAGAAGATAATGTTTTGTATAATAAAAAATAAGTAGAGAAAAGGGCTTCAAGGTACATCAAGGATAACATGAGGCTGCTGACCATCTGAAGAACATGATTCCTCACCTTGACGTATTTGATGCTTTGGTTCTGGCGATCATACCAGAAGCCATAATCAATCCAGAGACGTAAAAGCTCAAGAGGAGGCTGTGATCCGAATATATCCTTAGCTGGCATATTGAGGTCATCCAGGAAGGTTAGAAGTTGTTTGCCCCCGGCAGGTACATACACGCCCTTTGTCCTCTTCTCCACACGACTCTCAATAATATTTTGAACATTGTTGGAGCTTGTCTGGGGAAGAAAATGAACACTAAACCTTGTGAAAACAAATGTATCATGGGATATTGACTTTTAATATGTAGTGCTACTTTATATGTTATCAAGGTGAGATGGGGGCATGGAACACAGTCTGCCAAGACAAATACATGGGGCATGTACAGGAACAGGCCTTCCTACTGACAGAAGGTATGAATGTCCTTATAAGATAAGGAGAAAAGTACAAGGTGCCATGGGCCATAGCCATCAATCATTGCACTCATTTGTCTTCTGAAAAGTTCTGAAACAATAAAAATTGTTCTGCAAAAATTCTGAAACAATAAAATACTGTACACCTATAGATATATAGAGTATGGATTGGTTTAACCACTATCAGGTTTTTTACTGTCTGTGTCCTCATTGGAAATATTTCCTATCTATTTCTACTCTGGTGATTCCAAACTTCACATTTGCCATCAATTTAGGCCCAGGTGTAAGAGTCCCTCAAAACAAAAAAGGTGAATCTCACCAGTGGAGACAAAGACAGAAAAAACCCTGAAAGGGTAGTAATGCCTACTCTGTACAAAACTAAAAAAACAAAAAAAAAACATTTTTGGCTTTGGATAGACTTTTATAAGATTTGAATTCACTTGGAACATCAAACTGAGCTGCAAGTCTACAAATATGTGTTTTTGGTTACCTGTGCAGACATGTTTACAGTTAACAAGGCCCACTTGTTGGCATCTAAGGACTGCAGAACACTTTGGGCAATAGACGTTTTCCCAGTCCCCACTGGACCGACAAGGAGAACCGGGTTCCGGTGCGTCACCAGGGCACTGACAATGAACTGGTAGCGCACTGTGTCCACTGTTGGCACCATGATCTTGTAGAATGGGGAACTGTTAAGAGCAATGACAAGGAAAATTACACAAACTGAAAATATCTCAAAAACAGTGGATAGTAATCTGAATTAGAGAGGTGACCTGGAACCTGGAACAGGGCTGCCAATAGGGAAGTACAGGCAATACTCCTGTACAGGGCCCATGTCCCATCAGGGTGACCAGGGTAGCAGTGTAGTACTAGTACAGGAGTACTGTGTGCTGTTGTATCAGTGTAGTAGGGATGTACTGTGTGTTGTAGTAGCGGTGTAGTAAGGGTGTGCTGCGTGTTGCAGTAGCTCTGTGGTAGGGGAGTACTGTGTTGTAGTGTCCGTGTGGTAGGGGGGAGTACTGTGTTGTAGTGTCCGTGTGGTAGGGGAGTACTGTGTTGTAGTGTCCGTGTGGTAGGGGTGTACTGTGTTGTAGTGTCCGTGGTAGGGGAGTACTGTGTTGTAGTGTCCGTGTGGTAGGGGAGTACTGTGTGTAGTGTCCGTGTGGTAGGGGAGTACTGTGTTGTAGTGTCCGTGTGGTAGGGGAGTACTGTGTTGTAGTGTCCGTGTGGTAGGGGAGTACTGTGTTGTAGTGTCCGTGTGGTAGGGGAGTACTGTGTTGTAGTGTCCGTGTGGTAGGGGAGTACTGTGTTGTGTGTCCGTGTGGGGGAGTACTGTGTTGTAGTGTCCGTGTGGTAGGGGGAGTACTGTGTTGTAGTGTCCGTGTGGTGTACTGTGTTGTAGTGTCCGTGTGGTAGGGGAGTACTGTGTTGTAGTGTCCGTGTGGTCTCTGTGGTAGGGGAGTACTGTGTTGTAGTGTCCGTGTGGTAGGGGAGTACTGTGTTGTAGTGTCCGTGTGGTCTCTGTGGTAGGGGAGTACTGTGTTGTAGTGTCCGTGTGGTAGGGGAGTACTGTGTTGTAGTGTCCGTGTGGTAGGGGAGTACTGTGTTGTAGTGTCCGTGTGGTAGGGGAGTACTGTGTTGTAGTGTCCGTGTGGTCTCTGTGGTAGGGGAGTACTGTGTTGTAGTGTCCGTAGTGTCCGTGGTAGGGGAGTACTGTGTTGTAGTGTCCGTGTGTGGTAGGGGAGTACTGTGTTGTAGTGTCCGTGGTAGGGGAGTACTGTGTTGTAGTGTCCGTGTGGTAGGGGAGTACTGTGTTGTAGTGTCCGTGTGGTAGGGGAGTACGTCCGTGTGGTAGGGGAGTACTGTGTTGTAGTGTCCGTGTGGTAGGGGAGTACTGTGTTGTAGTGTCCGTGTGGTAGGGGAGTACTGTGTTGTAGTGTCCGTGTAGGGGAGTACTGTGTTGTAGTGTCCGTGTGGTAGGGGAGTACTGTGTTGTAGTGTCGTGTGGTAGGGGAGTACTGTGTTGTAGTGTCCGTGTGGTAGGGGAGTACTGTGTTGTAGTGTCCGTGTGGTAGGGGAGTACTGTGTTGTAGTGTCCGTGTAGTAGGGATGTACTGTGTATGATAGTGGTGCTGTAGTAAGGGTATACTGTGTGTTGGGGTAGAATTGTAGCAGGTGTAGTGTGTGATGGGGACTTGAGGCCCTGTCAGTAGGCTATACGGGGCTGCATAATTCCTAATGGCGGCACTGGCCATTACACCTAAAGTTGGTTTATACACAGTAATTTTAAAGTTGAACTCAAGGCAAACAGCTAAACACAAAGATGAAATACAAATATAGAATTACCTGCCAAAGGATTCATAGTTACATAGTTAGTCTGACTGAAAAAAGACAAAAGTCCATCCAGTTATAATCCTATACCCACAGTTGATCCAGAGGAAGGCAAAAAAACCTCCAGCAAAGCATGATCCAATTTGCTCCTGCAGGGGAAAAAATTCCTCCCTGATCCCCCGAGAGGCAATCGGATATTCCCTGGATCAACTTTACCTATAAATGTTAGTATCCAGTTATATTCTGTGTATCCAATAAAGAATCCAGGACTTTTTTTAAATCAATCTACTGAGCTGGCCACAACCAACTCTTCAGGGAGTCTATTCCACATTCTCACAGCTCTTACTGTGAAGAAACCTTTCCGTGTTTGGAGATTAAATCTCTTTTCTTCCAGACGTAAAGAGCGCCCCCTTGTCCTCTGTGATGACCTCAGGGTGAATAACTCTCCACCAAGTTCACTATATGAACCACTGATGTATTTATACAAGGAGATCATATCCCCCCCTTATGTATTATTATGTAGATCATATCCCCCCTTATGTATTATACATGGAGATCATATCCCCCCTTATGTATTATACATGGAGATCATATCCCCCCTTATGTATTATACATGGAGATCATATCCCCCCTTATGTATTATACATGGAGATCATATCCCCCTTATGTATTATACATGGAGAATTATCATGGAGATCATATCCCCCCTTATGTATTATACATGGAAATCATATCCCCCTTATGTATTATACATGATCATATCCCCCCCTTATGTATTATACATGGTGATCATATCCCCCCTTATCAGTATTATACATGGAGGATCTCATATCCCCCCCCTTATGTATTATACATGGAGATCATATCCCCCCCTTATGTATTATACATGGAGATCATATCCCCCCTTATGTATTATACATGGATCATATCCCCCCCCCCATCATCATCCCCCCTTATGTATTATACATGGAGATCATATCCCCCCTTATGTATTATACATGGAGATCATATCCCCCCTTATGTATTATACATGGAGATCATATCCCCCCTTATGTATTATACATGGGAGATCATATCCCCCCCTTACATGGTGATCATATCCCCCTTATGTATTATACATTCATATCTTATGAGAGAATACATGGTGATCATTCAGTATTTCATGGTGATCTCTAATCTGTCCTCATGGAGCTCCCCCCTTAATCTCCTGTTCCTCCATGTTCCTCTAATCTTTCCTCTCTTATCAGTTTGGTTGCCCTTCTCTGTACTTTCTCCAGTTCCCCAGTGTTCTTTTTGTGAATTGGTGCCCAAAACTGAACTGCATATTCCAGATGAGGTATTACTAATGATTTGCATTTCTATCAACCTAGTCCTGAAATTAACACAGCTCTGCCACAGAGCACAGCCTTGTCTTGCAGGACGGGACTTGATTTTTCTCTGCTAACATTTAGTAACACTTTCAGGTCTTGATCCTCTCCCAGCCTATGACTGGACAGCAAAAGGAGAAGCAGCACAGTGACCAGGTCATCTCTTTGTCATGCTGCTCTCTTCCCCTGTCAGTATGTCCTTTGCACTGCGGCACAACTGATTGGCTTCTTGAGCTGCTTCTGCCTTTTTCCAGTCTGAGCTCTGTTGTACGGGAGACTGAGACAAGCTTGTACTAAGTCAAATTCAAGTACTGCTTGCAATAAAAGGAAAACACATTTACCAATGTATTATTGAATACAGATCTTCCAGAGTTCATTTTAAGTTTAGGTTCACCACGTGCATGTAGTACAATTTGCTATCAACACTGAAAATAAAAACAAAAACTGCGTGTTTCCTGGTATAAAGAACCAAGGCTTCCAAGCCATCTAGGACATCCTTGTCAAGATTAACCACTTCAAGTCCAGACACTTTCCCCCCCTTCCTGCCCAGACCAATTTTCATCTTTCAGCGCTATCACACGTTGAATGGCAATTGCGCGGTCATGCAACACTGTACCCATATGAATATTTTAGCATTTTTTTTGAGACACATAAAGCTTTTATTTTGGTGGTATTTATTCGCCACTGGGATTTTTATTTTTTTTTTGCTATATAAATGAAAAAGTCCAAAAATGTTGAAAAAAAGTGTTTTTCTTATAACATTTTGCAAATATATAATATTTCATCATAAATCTTGTCCAAAATTTATTAAGTTTTTTTTTTTTTTTTACATTCTGTCACTCTAGCAGTACAGTGTCACCATGACACTGTACTACTTGTGGGGGGTGATGAAGACTTTTTAATTTTTTTTTTTTATTACACTGATTGCATTTACACCCATAAAGGCTGTAA